CTCGACGGTGTTGTCGATATTCAGATTGACGTCAAAGAAAGTTTAGTGAAGGATGTGAACAAAACCTTGCTCGTCGTAGGCAATGCCGTAATTAAGATCAGGATTGGTCATGCATTGATCTAATTGCGATGAAGTGTTGAAGGAAGTGGCCCTTTGCTGTCCTTGTCGTTTTCCCTTGAGAGAAAGGGTCTCTCTCAAGAATCAAAGTAGTAGAATGTAAGAGAAGGTGGCCGGCCAAGGGGGAGAGACTTGGGGAATTTAGGTTCAGATTTTGAGAGATGTAAGTGGAGAGAAATTTAGTTCAACAACTTCCTTCTAGATCCCTTGATTGAAATAATCAAGGAAGGGGAAGGGAGAGAGGGGTCGGCGGCAAGGGTGAGATGGATGGGCTTTAATTTAATTCCAAAAGGAGAGGTTCTCCTTTGGAAAGAAATTAAATAAGAGGAGCAAGGGGGAATTTCAGCCAAGGATGAGGAGAGGGAGTTTGAATTGTTTCCAAGAGAGGAGGTGGGCTTTTAGGAAACAATTCCTAATTCAAACCACAAGGGGCCGGCGGCTATAGAGGGAGGGAGGAGTTTTAATGGGGCATTCAATGGTTACTTAAATTATTAAATTAAGTTTGGAAAGAAATATCTCATCCTCTCTTAATTTAAAATTTAAATGGGAATTGATTTAGTAGGTTTCCTAAAATAGGATTTATAAATTAGCCAATTAGGTAACTATTTCAAATTCAAATTGATTTGAATTTGATCATTAATTGAGTTACCAAAATTATGAAATCTAATTTAGGAAAGATTTGGTGGCAAGTGGGGATTGAGGGAGGAGCCAAGGGGAGGTCGGCAGTGGTGGTTGGCCGTGGATAGGGATGGCGGGTTGGGTCTAGGCGGCGGGTGATGGTGGGGGTTTAAGTGGCCAGCTGCTAAGAGTTTGGAGAAGGCCTTGGCCGACAGCTAGGGGATGAAAGAAGGAAGACAAAGAGATAATGGAGAAGAACCACGAACCCGGCCATCTCCAAGGTTGGTGGGAGATCTGATTTTCCTCTCCAATGGATTTCTCTCTCAAGAAATCTCAGGATCTCACAAAGAAATCAAGCAAGGGAAAAATTTTATCATTCAATCATTAACATGAAAAGAGAACAAGGGGGCTATATATAGCCTCGTACAAATGACTCAATAAAATAAAAAGAAGGCGATGCCCTCTGGGCTTACATACGACCTCCGTTAAGTAAGGGGTAAAAGCGGAAAACACTAATAAAATAAATACAACATAAAATAATAAAGAAAATACATAATACGACTCAAAAGTACATCGACTCAATCTTGGTCGTAGATCAACGACCACGACTCTGATAGAATTTCCAAGCTCTGATGTCCCCGTCAGCTTCGCTTGGTTTGGCTTGGCTTTTTTCTAGACTAAAAGTGAACTACTATGTTTATTGAATCAAGTTGGGATTTCAGATTTTTGAACACGAGTGGATTGAAATGTGGCGAAGTAGGCTTTCTTTCAAGTATAACAAAGGGCGGCGTCAATTCGCATGTTATGAGGAGAGAGAGTGTGTGAAAGAAGCATTAAAAATAAAGAGAAATGAGATATACGTGTGTCATTAATAATTAAGGAACCAATTTGTTTAAAATAAAGATTAACTTTGGATTGAAAGTTATTTACATATTATTCTTAAGTAGGGTTTTGAACATAATTTTTTAAGGAATGGCCATTTAAAGGTTTATTTGTACGAGAAGTTTTAAATCTAAATTGGTTTGATTTTATGGTATTTATGTGGAGATGATGTAGGATTTTATTATAGTTTGTTTTGAAGGTTGTCAAGAGTCAAAAAGAGAGGAGAAAGCGGACAAGAGGATAATTAAGAGGGTCTAGCAGATTCAAAGATAGGGGTTGTAAAGCAAAATCAAAAGAAAGTGGAAAAAGAAGATGAGAACCCCATGCCATAAAATGACTTCTCAACAAAGAATATCATATTCAGTGTAAAGAAATCAATAGTAATAGATTTCATTAAGATCTCCTTGATGCAAGAAGCAAACTATGCTTCCAATTGATGCACGGCATGGTTTTGTAGCTAAAGAGAGTGGTTTGCTTGCCAGATCACTTACAAAGGAGATGCCACGTAGCACAACAAAGAAATGGTGATGAGGACATCGACAAACGCTACCGACATGTTTATCAACGACGGAATCGCAGATCGACGGCCACGATTCAGTGCCTCTACTTTTGATTCAGATGTCATGATGTATTATTTAGTTATTTATTGTTTTCCATTTTTACCCCTGTGGGGAGTTGTTTTGTTATTGTAGCCCAGAGGGCAATTTCGTACTTTTCATTTTTCATGAGTGGAGACCTATATATAATGGTCTCATATGATGTATTGGGTTAATGAATATTTGAATGAAAATTGTGTTTTGTTTCTACTTCTTCTTGCATGAGAGCTAGAGAAGTGAGAGAGCTCAAAGGGAGCATTCGCAAGGCCCACCAGTCGTTGGAAGAGTCTGCGGCTCGTGGTTATGTTGTTCTGTCTTATTTGTGTTTTCCCCTCATCTTCACTTACCAAAATCCTCATCTCGTTAGCCTCAATCCGAGCCCCAATTTCATCCCTCCTAACACCAAAGGGAGCCAACCCGCCGGCCTTCTCCTTGGCCGCCGGCCACCCTTCCTCCACCACCTCTTCCACCAACCAACCGCCGGCCCCTTCTCCCCACTTGTTCAAATTTTGAAATTCAAAATTGAATGAGTTTCAAAAAATTTCAAATTTGTCAAGAGCCAAATTAGAAAAGTTTTCAAACCCAAGTCAATTTGAAATTCAAATTGAATTGGACCTCATAACCAACTTCCTAATGTGGATGTGCTAGTTTGGAAGGTTATTAAATCGCTCCCACCTCATCCTCTCTCCTCTTTGAACCCGCCGGCCCTATGAGGCTCTCCCCTCAATGATTGCTCCGTTAAACCCCCTTTCCCATTGGAAATTAGAACTTGATTTCAAATATTTCTCCCTCCGAATTTTACAAATCCTGAAATTAAATTCAGGATTTGTTTTCAAACCCCCTCCCTATCTCTCTTGAAACCGCCGGCCCCTTCATTGGCTCCCCCTCCTTAACTCCACCATTCAAGCATTAATGCCTTTTTGAAATTCAAAATTCAAATCAATTCCCTCCCAATTTAATCAAATCTGAAATTAAATTTCAGATTTTGATTAATCCCCTCTACACTCCACTAAACCTAATTTCTCCGAAACCTAGCCCATCCCCCCCTTGCACCCGCCGGCTTCTCCCTCTCTCCTTGGAAATCCCGCCGCCCACTCCTCTCCCTCTTCCTTCCTCGCGAACCACAAGAGCTCTCCCTCACCACGTCATATTTCCCCTCTTCTCATTAGTGCTCTCTCAACGCCGGCAAGAATGCATGGCGGACCCCGAACTTGAATGGGGACTTGTGTTTGACGCCGACGGTAATATCAACATTCTACGATCATCATTCTTCGACGTAGGATTTGAACACAACGACACCATTGGAGATTACTTGGATCGAATTCTCCCCATCCTTGTGCATGCCATCGACGTTCAATTTTCCGACTACAATTGGACCATCGTTGACCACCCACCACCCTCATCTCGACCGGCTACCTCTCCACCAACGAAGTTCTTCGGCACCGTATTCCTAGTGGTAATATCCTTGGTCATATGGTGCATCTTCCTCCGCTAAAACTTACAAGTAGTTGAGTGAGAAGGACCTTGAGGTGAACCACTCGTTGTTAAACGTTAGATTATGTTATTTGTACTTAGCATTTAATTTTGCCTCGAACTTTGAAAGAAAGTTGAATATTTGGCCTAAGCAAGTTGAATATTTTAAATTCATCTCTCTTTTATGCGTTAAAGATAAATTTATATGAGCAAAGCTTTAATCAACTATATTTCTAATTTCTAAATGTAACTCCTAGTAGTTTCACATCAAATGGGGTCAAACCTAATCACTCAAAAGATGTTGCATAATGTGATAATGGAAGGATACTAAGGAGATGAGAGGATATCAGTTCACTAAGCATTCCAGCATTACCAAAACAAGACAATTGCATCACACAATCCTCAAGGATTACTATGACATATTCTTAATGTAACTAAATAATGCATTATAATTTTTCATGCGACTATAAAATCTACAAATTTAATTAATCATCATAGCATTCATAGTCACATGACCATGGCTACTATATACAATAGTAGAACTCATCTCAAATGACAAAAATTCCTAAGAAAAAAATGTACCAAAATCATCATAAATGACAAAGACATCTCATCCATGACCTTGAATGGGAAGGAAAACAAGGATAAATCAACGTAAATAAAAGGCATAAAACAACCACTCAATGGTCAAATGGCACCTAAATTCAATAGAAGGATGAATGGGCGCTGTCACAAACAATCCATGAAATGCATCTTTCATCAACTTATAACATGATATTGGTCAGAGTGGCATACCTTTTTATCCAATCAATAAAAAAAACCCTCAAATTTTCACCAAGTCAATGAACCAAAATAGGATGTATTATGATTTTAATGATATTTTAAGTTTTCTTGAAATGATTTGGTTCAAACTATTCAAATGTGCAATGCAAAGTGGTTTTAGAACATAAAAATGTCCTCAAGAAGAAAAGAAGACAAGGAAAAGTATAATGCCTTGCCCAGAGAATCCATGAAATAAAAATTATTCAACAACTTCCATTAAGTCCCCATCATTTCATAGTGTATCCCCAAAACAATGCCTAAATTTGATTTCATAATAAATGTTGGAAGTGCAAATCAACTCCATCGATTCATTGATAGTTTAAAAAACAATATAAGGGGGTAATCATTCAAGCTCTCTTCTTAAAAAAAATGCAGCAAGGTTCTTACAGTAAGCTAGATAAACCAGTAAATATCAAGAAATGTAATGAATATCCAACTACGAGCCAAAGCAATGAAATGCATTTGATTCAAAACCAATAAAGAACTATTTACCTGAATATACCTCACAACAGTGCTTGTATAATCAACAGCTCGCCGCTGAACAAGCTTTCTCATTCTTTTAGCAGCAAAATTGTCACCATGAGCTGCAATTCAAGTATCATATGCAATGAAAGTATTGTATATAGAGTTCATATATACATACACTTGTAAACAAATTAAAGTAATGCCGATATACCACTGATAAATGAACAACCGATTCATCTAAACCAATAGTCTTGCTTAAGCAAAGTGGAGGCTTTATTCTAGATTTGAACAAAACCAGTCCATCCTAGAGTTGTAAAATCACAATCATTTAAAACTCCAACATGGGCAATGTGTCATATTGATGAGGACATCCGACCATAGAGAGTTTACCAGAGACAGGGCCGACGATCTACGGCCACGATTGCACCGCTTTACTTTTGAGTCATTAGTTGTATTAGATTTATTATTATGTTTGTATTGAGTTTATTATTGCATATTTTTCATTTATACCCTCACTTGAGGGAGTAGTCCTATGTAAGTCCTAGGGGCATGTTTGTCTTTTTGTTCCACTCATTGTATGTTGGTTATTTAAAGCCTCATCATCTTTTGAGGGATGATGAATATTATTACAAACAAATTGTTGCACTTGTGTTTGGAATAGTTGAGAGAGTTCTCTTGAGAATGAAACCCTAGGTGAGGGGCAAGTATTACCCATCAGCCACAGGAAGTATCCGGGCTCGTGGTTCTTCGTTTCTATCAACTTCTTCTCCCTCCTCCCTAGCCGCCGACCTCCCCTTCCTCCCTCATAGCCGCCGCCTCCCCTTTCTCCCTCCTAGCCGCCAGCCCCAAACCCTCCATCCTCCCAACCGCAAGCCACAAGGCCTCCCCCCCTCTTCCTCATAGCCACCGGCCCAACTCTAACCCTAATTCTAGCCGCCACCCAAACTCTAATGCTAATTCTAGCCACCACCCAAACCCTAACCCTAATCCTAGCCGCCGGCCACCCCTAACCCTAATCCTAAACCACCGGCCCCAATCATCCCTCCTCTGCCTCCAAAATTCAAATCCCTAAATTGGTTACTTTCCATATGTGATGAATCTAAATTATGAGAGTTTTCATTTCAGATTTCAATTCAATTCGAATTTGAAATTCTTTCCTAAATTAAGAGGAGTTATATTTAGAAAGCCCCTCCAATCAAGGCCTTCAAATTTGAATTTAATATCAAAGGATAATTGCATTAAAGCCTCTTTCTTAATTGAGATTAGCTTTGTTTGGTAATCCTTAATTCCCTCCCACACCCCCTCCCCTTCTCCATAACCGCTAGCCCCCTCCCTCTTCCCTCTCTCTCTCTCTCCTACATTAAGTCCCTTTCCCCTTTGAGATCATAATCAACTCCTTCGTCAAAGGAGCGTCCTTCCTTTCCCTCTCTATATTTGAAATTCAAATTTCAAAGCTTCCCTTTCCCTCCCAATCAAATCTGAAATTAAACTTCATATTTTTGAAGTTAACTCCCCTCCCTAATCTTGGTCGACCACCTAACCTCTCCCTCCACCTCTTGTCCTTGGCTTGATATGTCACCAAAAGAAAAAGGAAAGAAGAAGCAACACCTTCCCCTCCCTAGCACTTTGGGAAGTCTCCCTACCCATGAATGGTAGATCCAGAACTTGATCGCAATTTTGTCAACAACGATCAAGGGCAGATTGGCATCCTCTAGTCTCTATTCTTCGATGTCAACTTGCAGATCGACCAGACTGTTGAAGACTACGTTGAAAAGATCATGTTCTCCCTCGCCACCGCTATCGAACAAGTTTCTCTCACTCAGTGGCAAATCATTTCCAAATCCTGATAAAGATGAATTTCTTCTCTAAACCCTTGTCTTTCTAAGTTCTCCCTTTTAAATTGTGGCATCATAAAGGTTGTGCAACTTATCTCCACTTAGCCAAACATCAAGAGTGTGAGTGAATGGATCCGAGTAGCGTATAATCTAAATGTTAATCTAGGGATTTCCTTTGAAAATCACTCATGCTATGCTAAGCTTGATTGGAATTGATTATTCATGATTCTAACTCTTATCGTATAATTTGGCCTAAGCTTAACTCACACTGGCTTGCTTTCAAGATTTATTTAAAATCGTTAAAAGTTAACTTAATTATTGTTGTTCTAATTTAAAAGGCGGATAATTTCAAACATTGCATACTTACCTACGCATTTAGTCCTACATCACATATACTAGTAACCAACTAGGGGATGTATTGTTCATATGTTTCCAGTCTAAACCAAACCTAGACCAAGAACCAGGTACATACAACCATGCCTAAGCGCTCTGTGGCAAACCAAACACACACACACAAAGAAAGGTGAGCGAAATACACCAGTCATAGCCCAGTGCGCAGCTCATGGGGACGTTAAGCGAAAAGGCAAAAAAAACTCCAGTGTCAAATTGCTGGCCTCTTACCGTCGAAGGGAGGAGGGGGGTGCGCCTGTGAGTAGTCGGCCGGGATATTACTCGAGGAAGCGGAAGTCTGCCGCATGGGAAGTCCCTGCTGCTGCTCGCCATACATCATTGCCATTGGTGAACCTTCCCAAAACCCTAACCCTAATTTCAGGATAAAGGCACGACACGACGTGATTAGAACGAGAAGATAGATCAGTAAACTCCCCCCGTTACGGAAAAAGTCCTTAGACGCCGCGGACTTGGAGAAGGAGAGCTGGCTCGTAGATGCGGTCTGGCCTCAGAACGTGTTCGGTACTTCGATCATCGCTCAAAATAAAAATAGATTTGCTGGTGCGTTCTGGCTGGTGATTTTCTCTTGCTCGGATATTATTCTGTGCTAAACAGTAAAAACCTAATCTGAACAGTAAAAATGTAGCTTTAATGTACTTTTATTATTCATAGACACAGATCGGACGGTGCTCTCGTCCGATGTCCGCACAAAATAATTCTTCTCCTAGAGGATGTCTCTTCGTCGATTATTTTTATGAGCGTACTATCATTAAATTTTAAGGATTGTATATCTTTTGATGTGATAATTAATTTGTAATTACATTTTAATTAAAATTATATCATGTGTAATATTTAAATATAAAACAATGATATTTATTGTATTGATGCCTAAAAAAAAATCAACTTGATTAAACATGAAATAGATGCGAAAACTTTCAAAATTGAGCGCTACCATATAAGAACTCCAATTTAAAGTCAAAACAATCAACGAGATGATCGCAACAATACTATTAGTGATCAAATCTAATGAGCCCAATGTTGACCTCGATTTTGCCCAGATTTGGGCCCGAACAGTTGACTTGGTCAAATTGACCAAGCCAGACCCTATGGCCCTCCCCACTGGGTTCAGTGGGCCAAGTCGAGTCTGTCGAGCCCGAGCTTGGACCTTGGGTCAACCCT